TTCTTTATTTTTCAAAGATTTTTAAATGTATTTTTAGACAGAGAGGAAGGGAGAGGGAGAGAGAAGCATTCATGTGAGAGCGAGGCATTGATTGCCTGCCTCCTGCATGCCCTCTACCGGGTATCAATCCTGCAAACCTGGCATGTGCCCTGACTGGGAATTGAACCTACAACCTTTAGGTGCACAGAACACCATCCATCAACTGAGGAACACCAGTTAGGGCTCTAATGTATTTCTTTGTTTCTTATTGTATGTTCATTTCCAACTAGTTCTTTTTTGGATTTTCTATCTTCATGGTTTTTGAAAATATATTTTTATTGATTTCAGAGAGAAAGAAAGAGGGGGAGAAAGATAGAAACATCAATGATGAGAGACAATCATTGATTGGCTGCCTCCTGAATGTTCCCCAATGGGGATGGAGCTCACAACTGGGTCATGTGCCCTGACCAGTAATTGAACCGTGACCTCCCAGTTCCTAGGTCAGTGCTCAACCACTGAGTCATGGGGGTCAGGCTCTATCTTTGATTTTACATTTCTTCTGCATTAAAGTTCTCACGGAGACCATTTACCATCCTAATAACCTGTGTTTTGAATTCTGCATCTGGTAGACTGCTTGTCTCCATTTTGTTTAGTAATTTTTCTGGAATTTTGTTCTGTTCTTTTATTGGAACATGATTCTTTGTCTCCTTATTTTGGCTGCCTCCTTGTGTTTATTTCTGTGTATTAGGGAGAGCTGCTACATCCCTCACTCTGGTAGAGGCGTCTTATGTAGTAGGTGTCCTATGGGGCCCAGTGACACAGTCTCCCTGTTCACCTGAGCTGGGTGCTCCAGGTGTGTCCCTTGTGTGTGTTTGTGAGCCTTCCTATTGTACTTGAGCCTTGATTGCTGTTGGCACATCAATGGCAGGGATTGACTTTCAGGCAGATTGGGTGTGAGGACTGGTCATGACTCCAGTGTAGGAGCTTTTGTGCAGGGGTGAACCTACAGAGCAGAATTTGCTTTAGCAGGACTCTGGTACCATCTGAGTCTGCCCTTTGAGTGTGTCATTTGTGGATGGGGTTGGGTGCTGCTCTGGTGTAGTCTGAAACTGACCACTGAGTTTGTTGGTTCTGGGCCTACTGAGAGGTGCAGGTGAAGGTTATCTGTTGCCTGTGACATGCCTGGGGCCACCTGGTATTAGCTACAAAGTGATCTGCAGATGTTTGCCGCTTGTGGTGGACTTGGAGGTGCCTGGGAGAGGCTAAGATGCAAACTGAGGCCAGATGCTGCTAGTGCCAGGCTTGGAGCTGCTTGGGAAGCGGGACCAGGCATGCCAGGGCCAGATGCTGCTTGTTTGGGGTTTGTGAACCTTTGAGATATTTCTAGGAATGTTGGCATATGCCAAGACAAGCTCTTTGTATGGAACAGTGTTAGCCAGGTTGATGGAGACTCAGATCTGATGCTTGCCTACACATGCATGGGGAGGGCTTAGCAAAGGAATAGTAGCTTCTGCCAGCACTTCCTCTGGGAGACAGCTGCCCTTCCAGCCTTTCCTTGAAGCCAGATAAGTCAGTTCTACCTCTGGCTTCTTTTGAGGTACTGCCCCAGGGCTGGAGATCAGAACAAGTGAACCCATCAGCGAGTAATTCCATGCAAAGGCCCTTTAAGAGGAATGCTTGGGATTCCAGGAGCCTTGCCCCTCCACCCTCCAACGCCCTAACCCCAGACTCATTGAGCAACCATCTCTAATGGTTTTCTTAGTCAGAGGTGAGGGACTTCTCTTGCCAGCACTGGAACTGGAGAGCCTGGTGTGGGGCTGGGACACCTACTCCACAGTGGGAGACTTCACAGCTGAGATATCTCTCCCAATCTTTAACCAGTACATGTGGGTGTGGGACCAGCCCATTCCAGGCCTCTGCCCCTCCTACTAGCCTTGCTGTGGCTGCTTCTGTATATCCTTAGCTATAGGGCTTTTGTTCAGCTAGAGTTCAGGCAGGTATCAATGATGGTTGCTCTGAAGTTTAGTTGTAATGTGGTCATGGGAGAAAGGGAGTACAGTGTTTACCTATGCTGCCATCTTGACTGGGAGCGAAAACTACGGAGTTTTAACCAAGTAAATGTATATGACTAGGTGAATGTTAAAGCAGCACCTAGAACCCAAATTTCACAGCCTTTGCCTGGGTCAGCATTCTTTTCACTTTCTAGGTTGCCATTATAATGGCCATTTACTATTTCTCAGGCCATAAATCTTGACTTCCCATTCCAGCAATATGGAAGATAACCTGACAACCTTCCCATTATAGACGTCTTAAAATGCAAAAGAAAATATACCAAGAAATATTTAAATAACTACAATTTCAAGAAAGAGAAATTCCCAGGGCTAAAGATAAAGAGGCTGCTGACACTCTAGCGCCCATGGGGTAGAGAGATATCACTGGTTTCTATGACCTAGGGGCCTGGCTTTTCCTATCTATTGGTCTCCCCAACCTGCCCAGAAGGCAACCAGAAACTGGGAAGCAAGCACCATAGGCTGACAGAATGCTCCAAGAAAAGTCGTCTAGTTAATCTCAAAGAGCCAGAAAGGGAACTCACACTGCTCAAAGAGAGGGGAAATCCCTCAGTTCTTTTTCTCCTACTGTTCTCTCATGCCACAGCCCCCACACAAACCAGAGGGAACCTATAGGAGCCAAAACTCTGAGGGAGGGAAACCTTACTTTCCCTTTGAAGGAGCTGAGGCCCCAAGAGGATGGGCAAACCCCAATTTCTTTATTTCCTCTCTCTGCCTTCATGCCACTTGGCCCAAACGTAGGCACAGTCACAGAAGTCCCTGGCATTCAGGCTAACTAAAGCCTCAGCTTTATGGCCAAATGAAGAGAAAAAGGGAGCCCCAGGGAACTGTAAAATCAGGGAGGTCACAGAGAGGGAGTACCTTGGGAAAGTGAACATTCAAAGGGACAATGGCTGGCAATTCAGACTGACATTGAAATCACACTGTGCACACAGAAGGCTAGTCAGAACTTGCAGCCTGAAGTTAAATAGGCCAGTTGCCTTCTAAAGCAAAACTATGAACATCCTCCTTAGGATTTCAATGAGACTCAGAGTCACATAACTTAATATTTATAAAGATACGATCAAAAATCACTCTGGCCAGTTTTTCTCAATGATTAGAGCATCAGCCTGTGGACCAAAGGGTCACAAGTTCAATTCCTGGTCAAGGACATGTACCTCCATTACAGGTTCGGTCCTCTGATGGAGCAGGAGGCAACCAATATACGTGTCTTTCTCATATCCATGTTTCTCTCTCTCTCTTTCTCTTTCTCCTCTCTCCTCCTTCCACTCTCTTTTATAAAAAAATCAATAAAAAAATTATCTTCAAGTGAGGATTAAAAAAAAATCACTCTGTATATGAAGAGCCCAGAAAATCTTGACTCACATGGGAAAAGCCAATTGAGATGAAACAGTTAAGATAAAACAGATACCAGTTAAGATGAAACAGATGTTGGAATTATCTGATATAAACCTTCAAGGAGTTATGATACAAAATACTCCAAAACAACACTGAATAACCTTGTAATCAATTCAGAAATAAAAGCCTCAGCAAAAAAGGAGACAAGATAAAGAAAAATGGGAAATATTTAAACTGATAAATACAAATTATCAAAACACAGGTGTCAGAGGAAAGACACAGTGAACTTGAAGACCAATAAAAATATTCCAACCTGAACAAGGAGAAAAATTATTGAAAATGAACTGAATCTTGGGACCGATGGGACAAGAGCAAAAGGTCCAACCTTTCGGTCTCAGATTTCTAAAAGGAGAGGAACACGAATGTGCTGAAAATGTTTTGGAGAAATAATGGCTACAAACTTTTAAAGTATGGTAAAAGACATAAACATAGAGATTTCAAAAAATTCAGGCTAACCTTAAAGAAATTCATGCCAACACATCCTAAACTGCTAAAAACTAAAGACAAATGTGAGACAAAATAAAGACATTTTCAGAGTAAGACTGAAAACATTTGCTATTGACAGACCCTCACTGAAGAAGCCACAAAGAAAAAAGAAGAAAATGAATCTAGGAGGGAGGAGAGAGCTATAAGAAGGAAAGGCAAATGAAGAAATGTGTAAGCAACATATGGGAAAATCTAAATGAGTATTGACTGTATAACATAACAGCAATGGTGGTGATTATGTTAAAGACCACATTTGGGGATTTTAAAAGAATGTGAAACTAAACTACTAGACAATATTAATTAATAAAACGGGGGCGGTGTAATCAAGCTTCTAAGGTTCTTATATTGTTTGGATGAAGGGTAAAGATTATTTTTAGGCTTTGTCAAGTCAAATATAAATGTTGGGTTTTAAAAGTAACTGAAAAATGGATGAATCATGGAGTGTGTGTCCAGGCTCTTCGAGATTATGAGGCTGATACAAAAATAATTCAAATCCAAGGTTCAAATCTTAAAAATTGATAGATGCCAGAACAGGAATACTGTAAGTAAGCATACATCTCTGATGTGAAGTCCCTTCAACTCAAAATGGCTCTGATTGTAAAGAGGCTGAGACATGGAGTGGGCTGTTACTGGCCTGGGTAGTTCAGATTTCTGAGCCTTTGGGTTTTATAACAAGCCTCCTAGCATTCTAGGATCCCTGTGCTATTTGGAAGGAGGGTAGAAGTTATGAGTTCTTCCCCCACTCTTTAAGTTTGCAGAAGATCACTGGAGTCAGAACCAATTTTACATCAGTATGTTACATTTCCCCCTTCAGTGGCTCCTTCAGGAAATTTGTGGTAAGAGAGTAAGTGGGTGAGTGCTACATCTGTATGTAATAGGGAGTGAATTTTGCACCTGTCTAATGCACTGCTTCAAGTAGCCAAGTCTCCTTTTTTCTGCCCCTCAGTGATTTTAGCCTTCCACCCAGTCCCATAGCCCCGCCCCAGCACCCTTAATTCAGCTTCCAGGGTTCACCTTCAGCCCCAGCCCATACTATTCCCAACTAATCCTAGGGACTTAGACCCATACATCATTGATGAGTGGACGCAGATGCCTGGAGATGCTGCAGAACATCGCCTTGACCTCTTCTCCATGCCCATGGTAGATGATGTTCCGTAGGGCCTTCACTGCCTGAACTGTCACCCGTGCCTCACTCTTCAGGAAGTCTGGCAAGGATGGAAACAGGCTCTTGACAGACTCTGACTGTTTGAAAGAAGGCAGAGATCACTTACCCTGTGGGCATCATGCAACACTTTAGGGACAGGGTTTTGAGAAAACAGGTGGTGCCTAAAAGAAACAGACCTAGGGAATCTAGGGGCTGCATGTGCAGAGGAAGTGGAAGGCTGGTGCTCAGGGTGTTTGGGAGGCCAGATGGCCAGGCTATGTAAGTCTGTAAACTGGATGTTGTACTGCCCTAGGATGAGGGGTTGGGAAATTTACTAACCTCTGGGTAATTAAGAGACCCCAAGGGAAATAAATTAAGTGGTTCAGAGACTAACATTTGATTCCCATTGGGCCCCCCACTTTTACTTGACTTGGATGCAGTGCCAGGTTACTGATTCCACGGAGTCCAATTTCTTTCATGATGAGGTTGGGCTCCTTGGTCCACTTGATTAGATTGCCCACAAAGTCTTGTCCCAGAGTCTGAGCCACTGATCGATGCCAGAGGAGCTGTGGAAACAAGGTTACTATAACCATGGATGGAGAAAAGGTCATGGGTACCTGGTGTTTCCCTAGCTACTCTCAGGCCCCATACTCAGGTAAGAACTATGACCAGTTGAGAGCAGTAGTCGATCTGTGCACATGGGGTAGAGCCTACGGCAATGGTGGATAGCGCTGATAATATTTAGCATTTTGGGAAGATCCTGGGATCCTAAAATCATTCTGGGAGGAATAATGCTGCTGATCCTCTCCCCAGGCTTTCCCTGCATTTTTATTTTTTAAAAAATATTTTTATTGATTTTTTACAGAGAGGAAGGGTGAGGGATAGAGAATTAGAAATATCGATGAGAGAGAAACATTGATCAGCTGCCTCCTGAACATGCCCTACTGGGGATGTGCCCACAACCAAGGTACATGCCCTTGATCAGAATCAAACCAGGAACCCTTCAGTCCGCAGGCCGACACTCTATTCATTGAGCCAAACTGGTTAGGGTGTTCCTTGCCTTTTTTAAACCAGGCTCTGAAGTGGCACGGAAGCAAACCCCACTCAATTCTATTCTTTCCACTTTCTGGGGCAAGTTATTTAACATTTCTGTTCAAGTTCCTCAGCTACAGGGAATGAATGGCTAGGGCTGTGGTCCTCCCTCCAGGCTTTCACCTGTGCATAGACGGCCCTGGCCAAGGTCTTCCGATGATTATCTCCGCTGTCAAGGAAGGTCTTGGCAAGTTTCAGAATTCGGTGCAGCATGACTGCTTCACAGTTCTTCACAATGCCACTGGGGTGGGGCAGAGGAAGCCAAGAGTTGCTGGGTAGGGAGTGGGCAGTGGTGGAGGGGAGGTGGCAAGGGAACAGTATGCACAGAACAGAGAAAATGTGAAGGCTGAGGTCTGAGAGATGAGCAAGGGAGGGTTACAGGCTGCTGTATTTGAGTGCTGGACCCTGGAAAATTGGGATTAGGGGCTTGAGTGGTATTGGGCATGCTGGGGAAATGGTCCCACCTTGTCAGGTCCATGATCCCTCTGTAGTAAAATTTAGAGGAGGACAGATGATCCCAGCACTTATGCTCATCTGCATAGACCACCACTCCATCGTATGCGGCTGCGAAGAACACAAGCTTCACCACCTCCAGGGCACAACTGAAGGCCAATCGTCACGAGGTTTGTGAAAAGAAAGGAACAGAAGGATGGACAAGGTGTTATGCCCTAGTTTGCATCCTTGTCCTAGCAAGCCAGGAGACAGTTCTCTAATCTGGTGGCTAGCTGGATCCTGCTTTCCAGCTGATGAAAACCCATGGCTCTCTGAAACCCATCTCCAATTGTGTCTGCTCACCCCTTCAGCCTTGGTTCTCATCCAACCACAGAGTCTTGTAAAAGAGACTATAGAGATGTGCTAGTGCCACAGCTTTCAAATTCAGCTCTCCAGAGTGCAGCAGGATCAGGATACCTCTTCACCTCCACACCCACCTAACCAGAATGTCTCTGGTTACTGGTTTTCTTTATTTTTTTACTGTAAGATTTCACTTGAATAGAATACCGAGGTTTTTTAAAAAGGTCTGACAACCACTTATTTAGGAGTTCAACACCCTAAACTGCAGTAGTGATTTGCACCAGATGGCGCTGTTAGTGACAAAGCTAAGCCAGAGGTGATCCAGATTCGAATGGCCACAGCTGCACGGAGAGAATTGAATCTTTCATGTGCCGAGTCATGAACAGAGATGTGAACCGCTGGGTGAAGCAGAGGAGTGCATGCAAGGAAAAGGGTAATGAGAAACTTGAAAACACGTGGGAACATTCCAGCACGTGATGTTGGGGCACCCACACCGACATTCTAGCTCTGTGCTGCTGTCAGTCTCTTCTTCAGCTTCCCTAGGGGATTGGCATCCAGCTGTCCAGGGCCCTCTGGAGTTGACTAGTCTCATTCCTCCATCACACCAGGGTTAGGCTTACCTAGTGGAGTCCAAGGTCTTGCCTGAGCCCCCATCCTTCCTGTAGACTACCACATTCTGGGGGGTCTTTTGCTCAATCACCCAGAAGAGATGACATAGCACAGCCAGCAATAGCCGGGGGCACAGAGTCCCGGATAGCATCTCACACAAGGCAAACGCCGCCTGGGGAAGACACATGGAAAGCAGGAAGCAGAATTGACTAGGTCTGGTAAAGACATAAATGGTCCCACAACCCACACACTGCCCCTCCCTGTCAGTGCCCAAAGGTCACAGTGCACTCTGACTGAGGTTTCTAAGAAGCACTCAAAGACTGAAAGCCCACAGCTCATCCCTGGGGAAATGAGGGGCCACACACATGTAATCTGCTCTCTCTTTATTCCCAAACATTAAAAACAAAAAGGGAACCAACTCTAATTTTTCAGCAGAAAATAAATTGGGCCACCCCATTTCAGACAACCAAACTTCATCCTCTGCGCCTAGCACCGCATGCCCCTGGCCAGGCCCCCAGAAATATGGGTGCCAGACCCAAAATCAGGAGATAGAAAAAGCTGATTAACTCTGAACATCAGTTTCCTTGTCTATGAAATGGGATTGATTCTTGCACTTTCTACATCATGCAGCTCTTGGATGTACAAAGTTAAAGTGCTAACCGTATGTGCAGTACTAGTGAGTCCAGTGTTAACAGTCTCCTCTTAACTGCTCCTTAACAACTGCTCGCACCCAACAGATGCCCTTTAATCATCAGCTCTGCACGCAAGTCCCAGACATAAGTCCTCTGCCCACCACCCGCCCTCCCCATGCTGACCTTCACGGGCTCTAGGGCTTTCTCCGTCGTGCCCTCTGTGGAGTGGTTTTCCAGGATGCCTATCAGCAGCTGCAGGACTTTGATTGTGGTCTTTCGCTCGGTGCCGAACACCTTCCACAGGGCCAGAATGGTTCTGCAGGAGCCAGGGACAGCTATGTCATGGGCCCTGGTAATCATATTCTAGTACCAATCTGGTCTTGAGCCTACGAAGGGCCAGTTCTCAGGTTCTAGAGGGAGTGAGGCCCAAGAGGACTTGGCCAAAGAACATGAAGTTTGATTGGCATCAAGAAGAAAGCATCCTTGTGCAGTGATTTTTAACATGGGCTTGGGTTGGAGCAGGGGAGGGTTTACTGGGATGGAGTGTGCTCCTGGGTGTGGGAGAGGTACCTATCCCAAGGGAGGGGCCTGTTGAGCAGCAGGGGCACAACGCTGTGGGTGCTGTTGCCTGCCAGCAAGCACAGGGCCCGAAGGGTCTCCTCCTTTGTGTTGGGCTCCAGGTGCAATTTGAGCCGTTCCAGGATGCCCACCACAATTTCCTCAACCTGCAGGGGAGAGCCAGAAAACCCCGTCAGTCCGTCTTGACTTCCTTCCTTCCTCCTCCCTCTCTGAGTCCTCAAACTCAAGGGGCCTAGTTGCAATCCTGTCCCTGACTCTCTTCTCAAGGCAGAGTTCCGGGGTGCCAAAGGCCAGAGCAGCAGGGCCCACAAAAGGGAGCTCGGGCCAAGGCCCACTAGAGCAAATGCCTACCCAGAACCCCCACATCCAGAGAGGTGGTCTGAGATTCCTCAGGAGACAGAAGACCCTCCAGAAAGAAAGCCAAAGCCCTGGAGGCACTCAGGCCTTTCCCTCCCAGCTAAGGTCAACTTCTAGCCCTGAAACTACAGGGACAGTGGCACTGGATGTGGAAAGACCACAGGGTTCTCATCCGGTGCTCAGAGCTCTAAACTATGGACCTCTGGGAAGTCCATTTCATTGTAATATCTCAAGGACTGTCATGGTGCCCTTCCATTTCTGTACCTAGGCCACGCCAGTCACATAAATGAGTGGAGGCAACGGGTGTCTGGGGATTCATAGAGAGAAGGGGGTGGGCAGCCCGTGACACATATAAAGAGGATGGTGGCCACTCAGAGACTTGCCCTATGTGACCCGATTTTGAAGTTGTTTTTTCTTAGTGAAGTGAGGAACAGATTTCTAAATGCTAGGCCTTCCCATATTTATGCTAGCTTAAAAGAACATTTATACATAGGTCAGTCATTCTGTGAGCTTCCTTGTTTCCAATCCACAGCCTTACCCCTTCGCAGAGGTCTAAGCTCCCAGGGGGTCAGGGTGAGTCCCCCAACAATGCCTACACCCCTGCACATGGCTGTCATTACTGAGGAATCGGCCGCCCAGATAGGAGGCACTGCAGTTACAAGCTCAGGATTACAAATGTCAGAGCTCAGTGGGACCACAGAGGAAATGTAATGCAAGCCTACATTTTAGAAGTGAATGAATTAAAGCCAGCTGAGGAGAGGGACTTGGCTACAGCCCTTTGGCTGCTTGGTAACAGAGCCAGGACATGAGCCAGTGCCCCTGACATTCAGGGCAGAGCTCCCACCCAGCACCACACTACCTTTATCAAATCTGAGCCCCGCTTTTTCATGACAGCGCTCATCAACTGGGCTGCAGCCAGAGACACCTTAGCCCTGCTGCCCGTCAGCTCCTCCATGGCTGTCAGCACCAGGTTGGTGAGCTGGCTCTGGGTGAAGTACTCTGCAAAGGCCTGCAACAGGGTGGGATCACATGGTGCGATGAGTCTGGATGCAGGGCTCCCCCTGCCTGAGACAGCCTGTGCCATTCCTCCTGGTGAGGGAGGGCTTCTCTAGGGAGCTCCTGTGCTTCTGTCCTAGGCTTGTGCTATCTCCCTAACTCCTAGAAGACCCTTTCCTGGGGACAGAGTCCTGGGGATGGAAGGGAGGAAACAGTGGTCTCAAGTGCAATGTGGGGCTCAGAGGTCAGGGGGTGCAGAGGCAGAACCCCGGGAGAGGAGGGCTGGGGCTAAGATCCTCAGTGACATCTCTGAGTCTACACATTGCTCACAAAGCAGCATTAGCATGAAGCAAATGCTTCTGGGGGACAGGGAAAGACAAGGATCAGGACCATTGATGCTCAAGGAGGGACAAATAGTAGCATGTGATAGGAAAATTTCCCCCAAAGGAAAAGTTCACATCCAGTAATAGAATGGGGAGAGAGACAGGATAGGAGTCCCACCCAGGAGTCTATAATAGCGTGTAAATGAGACGCCCAGACTTCCCTCACTTTGTCTCTGGTCCTGCTCCCTCACCTCGGCAATTTCAAAGGTGTTGTTATAGAACAAGTTGGCACTGTACACTTCATCCATGTCCTCTTCCATCCACAAGCCTTGTATTTTCTTCTTCATCTCTGAAACAGAGACACCCAGCCCCACCTCTCAGACACTCAGAAGGCATGTTAAACTCCCCCTTTCCCACCTTCTAGCCCAAAGCTCCTACTGAATTAAGTCAGCTTGGGGCTATGTATGTCCTTTGGGGCTGGGAGTAGAGGAATGGGCATTAAGATAAGAAATGGTGGGAGCTGAGGTAAAAGACAAACTATCTTGCCTGCCTCAGAGCAGAGATAGAATTGGGTAAAAGGATGAGGCTGAGCCAAAAACGAAGAAACTAATTCCAAAGAAGTATTTCCTATGTAGGTATTTTTTCCCAAGAGGTTATCTGTAGATATTTGGCGTAGGTTCCTCAATGGAAATGAGGTACTCAAGCAACTTCTTGGCTCTCACTGTCTTGGGACGAGTGTGAGGGGATGGCCAGGCCTAAGTGTGTGGTTGGAGGGGGAGTGGTAAGAGCAGGTTCCTCATACGCTTTTTCTTCAAGAGGATACAGTAGAGGTGATACACAGCCTTGGCAGACAGGAAGCAGATGCTGTCCACTGGGTCCTGGCAGCGCATGGCCAGCAGCTTTACCAAGCGCCCCAGCCGGGTGAATTCAATTTCCATCTGGGGAAGGAAGCTGGAAGTCACAAGTTATCCCAGCCATTCCCTTAGGCTGAGCTATCACAGGAAGAACTCAGAGGAGGAAATGCATGTGCCAGAGACATGAAAGGTGAGACTATGTGAGGTTAATGGGAATGGAATTAGATAGATGAGTTGTGGCCATAAAGGACATCAGAGGTCATCGTTTTATAATTACTTACTCTATCCCCCTTCTTTGCCCCTTGACACCCCACTCATCTGTCAACTTTAGTTCAATGCCGCCTTCTCTATGAACCTTTCCCTGCCCGCTCAACTTGTAATTGTTTGTTTTGATCTTTTAGTCCCACTATATTCAGTTTATATATTCATTATCACCTGCTATTTAAGTTTGTTCTATGCATGCCTCTGTCCCCAGTGGACTGTAAGGTTCATGAAGTCAGAAACTATCTTGGTCATCTGTGCATTCGCTACAGCACCTACCACAGTGCCTGGCACAAGGCGAGTGTTTAGTCATTGCTTGTTCAGACAAGTAACGTCAAACTGAACCATGTGGGATGAAATAAAACTGATGGATGGAGAAAAAGACCAAGTAGAAGATGACAGAAGGGAGAAAGGAGAGAACAGGATGGGATGCACAAGAGAAAACAGCATGGGCCACGGAGAATGAGGATGAGAATGAGTGACTGAGGCTAGGTAATATATATGATGAAGGTAGGGGTAAGGGCAACCAGACAGGGTATGAGAATTCAGACTCCAGGGCCGGCTCCCACTCACACTGAAGTCCTCCATTTTTGCTGTAAACTCCAGAATACGCGCAGCACACCACATGGCCCGTTCCCGCTCGTTATCCTTCTGGGAATTGAGCCAAGGATCCATAAGCTGGAGGAAGAAGATAATGAAAGGAGAGGCCCATTCATCTGTGTCCCAGAGAACAGAAAGATATTCTTGAACCTGGCTTTTACAAAGTTTTAGGGCAAGAGTTCTGACAGCAGGACCTCTTTTGCCAAGAGGCAGGTTATATGTGGGTCTGGCACCAGAGGTTTCATTCTCTCCTCTCTCCTATCAAGTATACACGATATTAAGTCTTCCAGCCCCATATTTTCCCTTCGTTTAGGTGATAGAAATCTCCTCAATTCCAACCCCCTTCCTTCAGGTTCAACAGTGGCTCGCAAAATATATCCACTCTATGCACTTCAGTGATTCAACATACCTCTGAGTTCTCCTACCCTCCGCCTCCCATTCTTCAGTAGAAAAAATACTTGGTGATAAAAAATAACAGTCACTGCATTCACAGATTCCAGAGTAAAGTGTGTGTAAATCTATTTGAAAAATATCATTATAAATGGTTTCACTTGAAACACAATGGAAAAGTGTCTCACCTTTGGTTAATTATGGGTCCTAAATACCATTGCTACTTGTCAATCTACAGTCATAAATCTGGCAATGTGCAACCACAGAGACCGTGATATATAATTGAAAAAGAAGAAGAGTAGCAGGTGAAAAATCCACAACCAACTCAAAAGAACACTGATGCTGCACTGACCAGAAGAAACACGTCCTGCCCTAGTCAGTTTGGCTCAGTGGATAGAGGGTCGGCCTGTGGAGGGTCCTGGGTTTGATTCTGGTCAAGGACACATGGCCGGGTTGCATGCTCGATCCTCATTAGGGGGTGTGCAGGAGGCAGCCAATCAATGATTCTCTCCCATCATTGATGTTTCTCTCTCTCTATCCTTCTCCCTTCCGCTCTGAAATCAATTTTTAAAAATTGTTGAAAACTGAATAAAGTCTATGTCTTACAATGGTGTGTCAACATCAATTCACTATTTTTTGTTTTTTAAATATGTTTTTATTGAATTTAGAGAGAGAGGAAAGGAGAGGGAGAGAGATCAAAACATTGATCAGAGAGAAACATTGATTGTCTGCCTCCTGCACACACCCTCAAACCCCCTCACTGGGATCAAGCCTGCAACTCAGGCATGTGCCCTGGCTGGGAACTGAACCAGTGACCTCTTGCTGCATGGGCCACTGCTCAACCACTGAGCCATACTGGCTAGGAAATTCCGTGGTTTTAATAGAAGCTTTATGTACTATTTATGCAACTCCCAGTGAATCTACAATCCTTTCAAATTTAAAAGTTAAGAAGAAAACCAGTAGCAAAATAATTACAAGCAGTCCAATATCCATCCATAGAGGACTGATTTAATAAACTATATTACATGCACACAATATATGAAACCATAAAAAAAGGAATATATCTGTGAACTGATGTGGATAAATGAAAACAGCAAGGCCAAGAGCACTGAATAGAATGTGCTAACTGTGTAAAACAGAAAGGGAAATAAGAATATAGCATAAACAGAGATTTGCTTATTTTCACAATAAGAAAAACAGGCATGACAAACCAGAAGTTAATGAAAATGGTTATCTATAGAGGGTGAGTGGGAGCAAAAATTCTCTGAGTAAAACTTTACATGGTTTTACCAGTAAGTTTTTAATTATGTAAATCTTTATATCATCAAGCTCTTCAGTTAAGTAAAAGAAAAACCCTAAAATTTAAGACAAGTCTAAATTATATCAATTGACAATATAATCATACAAAAAATATTTCAAGTAACTTTTGAACGCAATACTCTGAATATAGTCCTCAATCACCTGTATTTTAATAACACAGGAACTGCAAAGAAATCTTGAACTCCCTGTGGTAACTGGGGAATAGCAATTTCAGGAGAAAGCCAAAGTATCCCAATGACATAAGCATAGAGTAAGTCAATAAAACGACAATTTTAAAATGGGCAAATCATTTGTACCTGCACCTCACGTCTCTGAGCCAAGCACTTTGTAAACATCTCATTTGATTACCAAATGACTGTATTAACTAGGTACTATATGTCATTCCAGTTTACAAGAGAAAACTGAGGCAAACAGAAGGTAAACAACTACCCAAGACCACACAGAAAACAGCAGAGCCACGATCTGGAACCATAGTGTATGGCAGTCCAGAGCCTGTGTTTTTAACTGTTAACTGCTATGCGGGAGCAGTGGGCAGCTGAGAGAGAAGCTGGCCACAGCTATGGCTGAAGGGGAAGGAGGAGGAAGCTTTCTCCTCTAAAGGCAAGACCAAAATTAGTTATTCGATTAGGCCTTATTATCATTTCCCTAAAAGCTTTGCACCCAAACTTCATCAGCAGTTCCACTTCTTAGTTTTTCTTACTGTGAAAATAAACAGTCCCTAGACAGTTCTCCTGGTCAGTTCCCAACTGTACCAGGTCGATAGTGTCCCCCAAAATTCATGTCCACTCAGAATCTCAGAATGTGACCTTGTTTGAAAATAGGGTCTTTGCAGATGATTCAAATTAAGGTGAGTTCATCTTAACCTAATGACTGCTGTCCGTAGGTTTGGCTCAGTTGATAGAGGGTGGCCTGCAGACCGAAGGGTCCTGGGTTGGAATCCAGTCAAGGACACATGTCCGGGTTGTGAGCTCAATCCCCAGTGGGGGTTGTGCAAGAGGCATCCGATCACTGATTCTCTCTTGTCTCTCTTGTCATTGATGTTTCTCTCTCTCTCTCTCTCTCTCCATCTCTGAAATCAATAAAAACATATTTTTTTAAAAAAAACACACACACACAAAATAAATGGAGGCACAGATTGGAATGATATGTCTTGGAATGATATGTCTACATGCCAAGAGATACCATGGGTTGCCAGGAGTACCAGAAGCTAGGAGAGATGCACAGAACAGATTCTCCTTCAGAGCCTCCAGTAGGAACCAAACCAGCCAAAACTTTGATTTGGGACTTCTGTCCTTTACAACTTGAGAGAATGTACTTCTGTTGTTTGACGTCACTTCCTGCGGTATTTATTTATGGCAGTTCTAGGAAATGAATACACCAAAGTTCAGGGGCTTCCTCCCACGAACCTGCAAGCAGTTCTGGATCCGGGTGGGCATCTCAACAATAAGTGTCTCCATTAGTCTTAGGAGAGATTCCATGGTCCCCTCAAACAGATCCTGAGGGGGAAAAGAAACTCAAAAAATTGCCAACCTATCAGCCCCAACCCTTCTTCTAAAGTGCTCAGCATTCTGGCTCTCCCAGCCTTCCTTGAGAAAGCCTGCTCCAAAAACTTCCCTACATTAAAGCACTACTGGCCCATCATTCACTTCAATAAATCCCTCTGTTGTTTCACCAGAGCACAAATGTCTGCCTGGTGTGTAGTTTGTCCTGGTGAACTGGAAGTTCCCCTGCAACGTAGCTACCCTGCCTCCTCCATCCCCACTCCCTAACTCTAGCTCATGTGGGACTCTGGTCCCAGGGGGTACAGCTTCAGTAAGCAGCCAGGACTGACAGGCTAGCTGGTTCCAGGTGGGAGGAGGACTGGCCTGGCTGTCTGCAGAGTAACTGATTCACAAAAGCTAGGATAGTGGGTTTCTCCCTCTCATCCTTTAATGAACCAAGTGGCCTTGCCCAAAGCCTTATAAAGAGAGTAGCTGATCTGCCAAGGAGGGCTTCTAAACGTAGGGCCTGCTGGGAGAACCAGAGCAACATTGTGATAGATCCCAGCCACTAACACTGAAAAGCAGGGCGGGAGGGGGGGGGGCGGGGAAGAAAGAAAATACTCAGAAGAAACCTACCTAGGTGTAAAGCTATTTGTACTGGGCAGCTGGAACTCCCAGCTTGCTCCAAACACAGGGAAATCCTGTCAAAAAACTTCCTTATCCAAATCAGATTTACACGGAGGGAGGCCAGAGAAAACCCACCTCCGCCTTTTCTATATGTACCAGTCTTTCCTTCATGACATAACTATGAACTAAAAAATAAGAATTACCAGAAATCAGATGAAAAGGAGGCCCAAGATGAACAAACCAACTGACCTTAAAGAAAATCAAGCTAATTTGGTAAATAATAAAAACCTGTATTTTTAAATTCTCTTTAATATCTTCAGAAACATTTCAAGAGACTATGGCATCAATAAAACAAGAACAACCAGGCAAGATAAAGGTGTAATCAGAACACATGAAAGAATTCCTAGGCATTAAATATATGAATATAAATTAAAAATTGAATCCCTCTTTCCTTCCTCAAGGAAACACTGCAGGCCCTATAAGAAATAGACTCTGATTGTTGATCCTGGGATTCCCTGGATTTACGTACATATCAACCGTTACTAAAATCATATTTGAACCTTCTAGTCTCATTTCAATCACACAGCAGTTATAAAGGGGAGGATCAAGTGTCTGCCTTGGGGCCAGAGTGTTGAAGTGGTGGCAGTGGTAATCAACGGGTAGGAGGAAGTTAGATCTCAGGAGTAGAGTTCAGACAACATGACCTAGCAACCTCTTCTTCACAGGAGGGCTTCCTTCCAATGATTTTGTGTTTTTATTAAAGAAGGCAGAAGACTATTACATAAAACTGCCAATCCTATACTTCCTAACCTCTTAAAAAAAATAAAAAATGAAGCCAAAGAGACAAACATCAAAGAGTTACTTACCACATTGGCCTGGCCCTCCTTGGGACTAGATGCCTCCTTTCGTAACACTTCAATGGATGGCAGACAGAACACACTCTTGAAGCATGTTCCCAGGAGCTCTACTCTTTCTTCTATCCCTAAGAGGGGCCTGAACATCCTAAGATCCAGGGAGAAGAAGTGTAACCAGTGTTGTCAGGAATAACAACAGAAAAGGGTATAGAAAGAGAAGATGGAGACAGAGGAATAAGTGGGAGCAAGAAAGAGGAAGATATCAGAAGAAAGGATATTAAAAGAAGAAAGGGAGTAACAGTAAGAAAGGGTGAAAAGAGCCAGGAAGATGGAAAGAAACGAACTATAGGAAAGAGAGGAGGCATGACTATTACAGGAAAGGGTACTGCTAATTTGGGATGATATTATTCCTTGTTAGATTCCCAGAGCTTTTGAGAGAAAGGGACATCACTGATGGAGATGGAGGTGCCAATCAGGGACAGGGCTGAAAGCAAAAGGATGCCTGGGGCAGAATTAACAGCAAGTGCCTATGGAGATAGGAGAGGCCATCTCTCCTGTGTCCTTTGAAAATCCAATTCAAAAAATCTTGGCCAAAAGAAGTGGCAGATATTGGCCAGTAAATTCCTACTATTCCCTTATGCTAGAAGCAGAAGCAGAAAATAAGAGGTGGGGATCAACTAGGGAAGAAAGAGCTGCAATAGAGCTGCAATAGAACCAGGTCAAGGAAGACAGAGTGGATGGTGTGTTGTTACCTGAAGTTATTGATGACGTTCATTGCCTTCTGTCTAATAGGGCTGGAAATGGAGTTCAATGGCTCCTCCTTGATTAGGTCCTAACACACACACACACACACACACACACACACACACCAAAAGGATGGTGAACATTTTTTTCTTGTTTGCTTCTCCCTCCTCCCACTCCAGGCTGTGTTCATAAGAAGGTGGAATTTAGAATTTTTAGTGACTTCCAAAGGCTCTGAGGACAGCACCTCTCTCCTACTCCCCACCACACCTTCCCTACAGTACTCACCCCAGCCTTGAGGATGGCAAAGGGAACACTAAGGCGGGAAAAGGGCTTTTACCTTCAGCTCTAGCCTAGGAGTGCCACCAATGGTTTCCATGTGGACCCATCCTCCCCCCTCCTCTCTGCATTCCCACCTCCATCCTCCTGCAACTTACCAGCATGAAGGTAACAATTGCTAGCTTGTGGGGGAACTTGAATTGAAAGGCCACGTGCTGCTGCCTGCCCAGGGTTTTTGTCAGTATGATGAGGGCATTCAGGTAACCCAGCTTCAGGTCCTTATCCTGAATGAACCAGTATGCTCAGGGTTCTCCAAGGTGGCAACGGATCTGGGCCAGGGCACACTACCTACACAGTCTGGGGGGTGAGGACCTAAGCCTTCTTTAGCCTTCCTTAGGCTGCTGCTCTGCATCTTCCCTCTGAGGGTAGACCAGTGCATCCCTGCGGTGGAGAGAGCCACTCCTCTCACCAACCCCCTTCTGAAGCCACCCTCATGTGACTCTAAATTAGGATAGATCAAGCTTCCCGGTCTCTTAAGGTATTGTCTTTCCCTTGAACACGTTTTACCAAAAGATATCTGACTTGGGAATGGAAAGGGATTCTTCTCCAACCCTGGGGACCCACGCTTTGGACACATAGCAAAGGCAGGAAAGCAGTATGGAGCTCCTCTGCCTCTCCTGAATGCTTCTTCCTACAAACACTAGGGAATTTAGGTTTTACTCATCCCTTCATCAGAGAGGGCAGTGAAAAGCTCACTGGCAGGTTACGAAGCTCTGTCACAGGGAAGGACACACTTTGAAACAGACCTAAAGTTACTGTGGTCTCCTCCTTGGGCCAATTAGAGTCTCCAAGTAGCAGGGTTAAGTGAAAGGATGAAAATGTGGGAGAAGTCACTGTACTAGCCCCTGACTCCCATTTAAGGCCAAGCACCTTTTTCTTGGGCGGTAAGAGAGGACGTGGCAGAAATGGAATGCTGGAGTAGAGTAAGCAGGAAGTACCTTTTCCAAAATGCAGTTGTGGTAGTGTTGCAGGATCAAGGCCAGCACGGCATCGAAATGCATGAAAATATCTCCCTTGCTCTCTAAAATAATCTTGCTATAGCTTAGGTAGATGGTGTGACACACAAGCACCCATTCCCTTGGCTGATGTTCCTGTAGGGGGAGGGGGAAACAGAGGTTCAGAGAGGAAAAGGTTGCTCAGAGGATTTGGGAAAGAAGATGGGACTGTGCGATGGCGAGCAAATGGGGGACAGGGTGGGCATGTAGCTGGTGATACCAGTGCCTGAAATGCAGAGCAAGAGAAAGGGATCGAGGATGAAACTTTCCCACAGTTGTTTCCAGGGAAAGAGAAGCATTTATAGATGAGTCGCAAGGCCTCAGAGAAATGGGAGGCTGGGGTGATGGGGATGCCTTGGAAGGCTTTGTATGGGAGGCTGGTAGAGCACCCTGGGAATGACATCACCTTTGCCAGTGTGAGGATGGACGATGACTCCTTGTCAGTGAGTACAGCACTATACACTTTCAATTGCTCCAGGACTGTCCTCAGATGTTTCCTGGACACGACGCTGAATGCCACAGCAATGCCCTGTAACAAAGAGAGCCTCAACCCCATGCCATAGTTCGGGGCGAGCCAGACACATGCTATGTTCCCCCACGAGCAGGATATACATAGAGGAAGGGGAAGGGAAAGGAGAGGAAAGAAATGGAAGGGAATTTGGTTCTCCACATTTGAATTATTTAAAATCTGGGTGAAGAACCAAGTATCTTTGCGAGAAGTAATTTAAGAAGTAAATTATTAAGAAAAATCATAGTCACAGATTTACAAAATCTTGGTATTGTCAAACCTAACCCTGTACATTTGAGAATACTTTTATAGGCACTAGGAATTCAGAGAATGGTTACTCTGAGGAGGGAACAGAAGGAAGAACAAGTCCCAGGCACCTTGCTGACAGGATTGGATAGCTAGTCAGAGAGGAGATGGAAGACAGGAAGACTTGCAGAGAATGCCAATATTTCTAGTTTAGGAGAACAGGAAACATCAGTAACTCTGACCAAAACAGGCAGGTGAAAAAGAGGCCTAAGTTGGAGAGAGAGAGAAAACAGTGAGTTTCTGTATGTGTTGTATGGGAGATCATGGCAAAACAACTCAGTGGTAATGTTGTCAGTGCCAGTGGGTTTGGGAATCACAACCTAGAGAGAGTCAAAAGCATGAAGACTTGGGGATTCTGTGGTTCCTGCCAGGAACAGTCTTTAACTTAACCCCTCAGCCTCATAGCAGGCCCTTTTGACTTCAGTGTCAGCTGAATCTCTCCCTAGAGCTTACTGAACAAGGATGACTGGGCACAGAGCTAACAAAATGCTCAAGCAGACATTCAGGTGCCAGCTGTTGGCAAATTGGCTCATTTGTGCTGGAAGGGCCACCATTCAGACTTTTCAGCAAGAGCAGACAGATGGAGGGAGCCTTGGGACAGTGACAGGCTCCAGCACACAGATCATGGAGAGGGATGAAATTTTAGTGGGACTTGTAGACCATTGGATATCAGGTAGATAAAGGGAAAATTTTAGCTCTTTAGAAAAGAGGGGCTAGTGGAGCATCAGAAGGGGGTTCTATTCTGTCCCTCTTCTTATGTCCTCCCTTAGCCATGGCTACCACTCCTTCTGGTCATCATCATCATATATCATCATCATAACTGACATCATCAGAACATCAGTGCTTAATGTTTACCAGCCTTATACATGTTACTTGATTAATCCTCACTAATGCATTGAGGTAAATATTGTCGTCCCCATTTAACAGTCAGGGAAAATATGTTTCCCAAATCTAGACACGAAGCCCAGGTTTGAGTTCCAGGTCTACATGCTTCTGTGCATGTCCACCTGACACTGCAACCCCTCCCAGTCTAAAACTAAGTACATCTACTTCCTCCCCCTTTGTCCTGGGTTCCTGGTCTTAGGGAAGGATACCATTCTCCTCCCACTTGGACCAGAAACCCAAGAATCATCCCAGATGCCCTTTTTTCTCTTTATCTTCTGCATTCAATCTGTTCCCAAGTGCTAGCAAGAGGTCACTTTTACTTCCTTGTCAAAGAACTCTGCACTCCAGTCCCACTAGAACATTGACTGTTCTCTAGATGTGCTCCCCAAAGTCTTGATCCTGAATCTTGACTCAGAATGTTATGTCAACTGGGAATACCTGCCTCCCTCCTTCTCCTAAACTCGCTCCAACCAACCCAAGTCCCAGCAAGCCTCAATGCCACAATGACTGCTCATGTAGCCTTTAGAAGGCCATTGAGTATAGTTAGCCATTTCCTTCCTGTATATGTCTTTCTCCTCATTGATACTGTTTGCAACTCAGGCTTAGTAAATACCTGTTGCTGATCGTGGAGCTGATGGATGTTCTGAGAATCTGGCAGGAGAAGGGCCTTGGAGAGGGAGGTCCTAGGGCATGAACACCAGCACTACCAGTAATCAGCAAGTAGAGAGTGCTTATGTACCAGCATTGCTCTTAGTGGTTTTACATTTTAATGTCATCCTACAACACACATCACTTCTGTGGTATTCCACCAACAATGCACACTCTGAATCTAATCATGACGAAATATGAGACAAACCAAAACCGAGAGACATTGTACAAAATAAGGGGTCTGTGCATTTTTTAAATGTCCAGGCCATGAAAGATAAGGTTAGGAACTTGTTCCAGATTAAAGAAGAATAAAGAGAAATGACAACTGAATGCACGGCTTGATTCTGAATTAGACCCTGGAGTAAAATAATAAAAAAAAGAATATTTTTCTTTTTCTCGAAAACACATTGTTGGGACAATTAATGATTTTCAAACTGGGTCTATAATTTAGATATCAGTGGTGTAGCAATGTTAATTTCCTGATTTTGATCATTGCACTGTGCTTATGTAAGAGAATATCTTTATTTTTAGCTACTAGAGTATTTAGGGTTAAATGAGCTTCATGACTGCAGCTTTCACTTCAGATTAAAAAAATATAGTAATAATGTTAGTAAATAAATGTAATTTATGAGAAAGAGAATGATAAAGCAAACATGGCAAAACATTTATGTTTTGGGAATCTGGGAGAATAAATAGAAATTCTTTGGGATTTTTTTGCAACTTTCCTCTAAATATAAAATTACTTAAAATTCAATAAATCTTTTAAAGAAATATCCTATCAGGAAGGTACCATAGCCTTGTCTTAACGAGGAGGAAACTGAGGCACAGAGAGGTTCGGTAACTTGCTCAAGGGCACAAAGAGAGTAGGTGGCAGAGCTGGAACTCTCACCCAGGTGCGCTGGTTTGCCAGGCCCAAGATTTTAGCCACCTTGCCATCCTGACTCAACCTGAAAATGCTTGGCCAATGCACTCTGCCTCACCTCCCTCTCCTGCACGTTTTCATGGGAAGTTTGAAGGATGGCGGAGAGCATCATCTTCACCAGTTTCTCACTTCTTGAGGTCCACAGGGCGAAGCCAAAGAATTTATAGAGAAAAGCCTAGGAAAGGTAGGAGGGCAGGGTCACGCATAGCTTGAAATGAGGGTAGGGCAGCATTTCCTATACTAGCCACCACCTTTGCCCACAGCCCCATCCTCCACCCTGGCCCTTGCTCTCTAGAGGCATCTGGATAAGGCAGTGATCCTATGGAGCGGGGTTCAAGTTACAGGGAAGAGAAAGCTGCCTTTCCAATGTCTCAGCCTCTTAGGGATCATCCTTTAGGAACTTTCTCTGACCCCCATACCTCCCACTTACAGCTAGGAAATTTAAAAAGTTCCTTAAACTTGCATAATTTTAAAACCAAAATTGTATAATTGAAGAAGAACTTTTATGTAATTCTTTCTCCCTCCTCTGAATTTCAGTGGCCTTTATCCTTGCTTACTGGATAATACCAGACTGTGTGGACTCACCACTCCCTTCTTCAGGGTCTCTGTATTCCCCATTTTCTCTGTGTAGAACCCTCTTCCCCAGGCTCTTCAAAATGTCTCATTCTCTTGCCCAAACCGGTTTGGCTCAGTGGATAGAGTGTCCCAGGTTCGATTCCGGTCAAGGGCATGTACCTTGGTTGCAGGCACATCCCCATCCCCAGAAGGAGGCAGCTGATCGATGTTTCTCTCTCATCAATGTTTCTAACTCTCTATCCCTCTCCCTTCCTCTCTGTAAAAAATCAATAAAATATATATTTTTACAAATGTCTCATTCTCATCTTTCAGATATCACCTCAGTGAGCCTCCTCTGACCTCCGAAGTCCCTCTCCAGCTCATCACCGTTTCCTTCTTTCAGGGCTTCATCATAATCACGCATCTTCACTGTGGATTTGTTCCGTTAGTTCCCAACTTGCACCAACCCCACATCTCAGGTGAGAATGGAGCTCAAGAGCAGTGTCTACCCAGTTCATTACTCTGCCCCATTGCTATCAGTGCCTGAGGCAGTAGGCAAACAGGACATTCCGGCTGTTCAATGAATGCCTTAACTCCCCCTCTTATGGGTATCTTTTCCCTCTAGCAGATGCTCATGGTGCCTTGCCCAGACCTTAGGGTTCCTTCCCTTCAACTGGCTGCAGGAACTTTTCTGAACAGCTACTCCCTGAAGCCTTGGGAGAGAACTGTCCTGAGGTGACTGGGGCCTCCTTACCCCAGATGCTCAGGCGCTACATTGTTCTCTCTCCCCTCCCTGCACAGGACCAACCTTGGAAACCTGGAGCCAATGACAATCTGGGGGGCAGAGGGTACAAAAGCTCCCTCACTTGTCTCCAGGCAGGATAGACTCTGCAGTTTCCATGCAGGGCTCCCATGAGATCAGGCCACATCCTGGCTTGGCTTCTCCTCTCCCCTATCCTGTGCCCTTCACTCTATCACAAGTTCTCCTGAGAGCATTTCCTCGCCAAGTCACTTGACAAGAATCCTCACCTTAGGCTCTGCATCAATCCAACCTGACCCAAGGCACCTACTTTTCTGCTTCACTGGCAAAGACTACTCATCTTCCCAGACTTATCCACTCCTCTGCAGGAGACATGTCTTCCCATTTTGCCCAGGACTGAGGCGGTTCCCCGGACACTGAACTTTCAGGACTAACATCAAAACAGTCTTGAGCAAACCTAAACAGCGGATCGCCTCTGACAAAGCTTCTCTGCCCAGCCCCCTCAGGCCCCCTCCCTGCTCCCAAGCACACAGTGCATATTTCCACCCTGACACCTACAAGGCTTAGAATAATTGCCCACTTTCTTGTCTATGCACTCAAGCAGATGATGGTTTCCTGAAGGCAGAGGCTGTTTTTACATGAATACCTTGGGCCCAGCCCAGTGTCTGCTCTGCTCTAGGCATTTAGTGCACCTCTTTTTTAATCCTCATCCAAGGATATTTTTCCATTGATTTTTTTTAGAGAGAGTGGAAGAGAGAGGGAAAGACAGGGAGAAATATCGATGTGAGAGAGACACCTCAATTGTTGCCTCCTGCACACGCCCTGAACAGGGCCCAAGAAAGGGTGGAGTCTGCCACCAAGGTATGTGGCCTTGACTGGAATCGAACCCGGAACCCTTCGGTCTACAGGCCAACGCTCTATTCACTGAGCAAAACCAGCTAGGGATAGTGCACCTTTTAAATAACTGAATTAAAAAGATCAGAATTCTCTCTTGCTTCATTTTGTGTCCCTAATCTACCAACCACAAAGATGTGCATACATTAGGTGCTTCATAAGTACTGTTAATAATAAGAGAGCAAACGGTCTTGGAAATAAGGCCTCTTTCCTGGAAACCTCCAGAGCTCAAATAAAGTATTTCTCGGTGACAGGAAAACAGGAATTGAAATCAAGAAACCTGGATTCAGGCCCTAGCCAGTTTGGCTCAGTGGATAGAGTGTTGGTCTGTGGACCGAAGGGTTCGATTCCAGTTAAGGGCACATATCTCGGTTGCAGCCTCCTCCCTGGCCTGGTCCTTAGTCAGCACCTAGATATTTCTCTTTCTGTCTCTCTTCCACTCTCCCTAAAAAATCAATGGGAAAATATCCTCAGGTGAGGGAGGGAGGAAGGAAGGAAGGAAGGTAGGTAGGTAGGAAGGAAGGAAGGAAGGAAGGAAGGAAAGAAAGAAGGAAGGAAGGAAAAAACTTGGATTCAGGTGCCAGTTTTACCAATAATTTTCTTAAGATTTTAAATTCTCCTGGATTGTGTTTCTTCAACATCAAGGTAGAGATGACAACAGCTATAGGTTATTTAGGCTAATATTTTAAAAAATCTTTGACACTTTATTAAGACTAAATTGGGAGCACATGGAAAAGCCAGGGCAGGACCCCAGGCCGTCACCACCACCAACCTTGCACTCTGTGAGGAAAGGAGCCCATATTTCTTCCTCAACTCTGTATCCCCAACATGAAGCACAGTCTATGGCAGTGATGGCAAACCTATGACACGCACGTCAGAGATGACAAGTGAACTCATTTTTTTGGTTGATTTTTCTTTGTTAAATGGCATTTAAATATATAAAATAAACATCGAAAATATAAGTCTTTGTCTTACTATGGTTGCAAATATCAGGGTTTTTCAAAATGCTGATACGCCGAGCTCAAAAGTTTCGCCATCACTGGTCTATGGGATGCCCTCAAATATTACTTGAATTGACTGCTTAAATAGGACTCTAAAATCAACAATCTTTCCACTGCACCAAGTACAAGCTTGATTCTATTAAGACTATTAGGAGGTTTCAATGAAGACAATAGATGGCAAAGTTCTTGATAAAGCCTAAAAGGCTAAGCAAAAGTAAGACACTTTTGATATTTTTGTCATGCCAGTGTGACGACCAGTTTGTGGTCCTCTCCACCCCTTGATTGCCAGGATGCAGGAACACTGGTTTGTTCTTTCCCCAAGGCCTTTACTCATTCACATTTCCTTAGGCACCTGTGTGAGCACCAGGTTTCTTCAGCACCATCCTCCACCTTCAACGCATTCCCCCCGCCCCCACATTGCAACCACCACACACCCAGACAAACCTTCTCATCACCATCATCAATGAAATAACGGATCCTCTCCAAGATGACTCTGATGAGTTGCTCCTGCCAGCGGTCATCATCAATAGCCACTAATGACTGACTCAAAAACTGAGGAAGAAGAAGGGAGAAGAGGACCACAAAGGTCAGTGGTAGGCTGTTCTGCCCCACAAAAGTGGGGTCAAGAAGAAGCAAGAGACAGGGGTTATGGCCTGTAAATATGGATAAAGAGGTGAAACACATGGTGGGAGTTAGGACTGAAGAATGACATTACAGTGACAATGATGGTAATGCCAATTACATGTGTGAAGCCCTTTCAAATTTACAAGGTCCTCTCTGATATCATCCTTTTTAATACTGGGAGGCAGGAGTTACTTCCATTTAACCCATGAAGAACCTGAGACATGCAAAGGCTAAATACCTTGCCCAAGGACATACAGCTAGGGCCCTTTCCCTTACTCCCCCTTGATATAGGGTTGTAAGGGTATGGAAGGGGGCTCAAGACTTAGCACATAGTCAGATACTCTGAGGCAGAGGCCAGGAGGCAAGGGGACCACAGAAAGAGGTTTGCTTGAGCAGTTAGGCCCTTGATCATGACCTCAGTCTCTGGGGGCCTGGTGCTATCCTCCCTCAGATACCTGAAGATGGGAAAGAAGGCAAGTGTGCAGGGAGGGAGGTCTTGGGGAGTGCTTACCCGGAACAGCCGGTCCACCCACTCCTCCTGATTCAGGCTCTTCTCAGTATGACCTAGGAAAGGAGAGAGCATGGGGACCCACTCAACCGGAAGGTCCCAGCCAGGGAGAAGAAAATATTTAAGTACTATGCGGCACTCAGCCTACAAGGTAACTGCTCTCCCACTTTCCAGAGCCTCCAGAAGATGAATGACTTTCCAAAGGTCAAATACACACAGCTGACCAGTGTCAGAGCAAGGATACAAAACTGGTCTGTCTGTTTCCAAAGCCCACATTCTTCCCTGATCTTCTGCCCATAAGAAAGTGCAGGAGTCATTCTGGGAACCCTGGAGCCACAGAACTTTGGACTGTGTTTCTGCTCAGTTCACAACATTGCCCCCAAAAGCAGACCCATCCAATAGCACCTCAAAGGGACAGAGACTGGTTCCAGTTCTCCTCACCCCAAGGAAGGTCCATCCTGCACCTGGGGACGCCATCTCTTTTGGAGTCTGGCCACTGTCCCAGCTTCATTCCTCCCCCTGCTAACCAAGCCCTTACCATCCAGTATCTCCAACATCTGTGGGATCACCTTCCTCCACAGCTGGCCAACACTGTGGTTTATAACAGGATGCAGAGAAGTGATAGGATGCAGGGCAGATAGTAGCCTCAGAGAGCTTGTACCAAACTCCTTTTCCCTGTAGGGCTTCCGGGAACACATCTGAGAAGCAAGCAGGAGGCAGAGAAAATATTTAAAAGAAGAAAGAAAATGAAAGCAAATCCATAGAATGGTAGAGCTGGAGTGTAGGCCCTGCCAATTCTTTGCCACCTGTTGAACTCCTACATCCTCCCAGATGCTCTGGAAACATCACCTCTTCTGTGATGCCTTCCTGCCTCCTGGAGACCATGTGAGCCTGTTGTTCTTCTAAGTCCCGTTGCACCTTATGTATTCATCTATTAGTACATGTGTCACACTAGGCTGTAGATAGCTATTCCCACACTTGTCTTCCCCACTAAGTCTGTGAACACCTCAAGGGTAGGTCTATCTTTGTCATTCCAGGTGTGCATATTTCTAGCACATAATGTCTGGGCTAATAGAGAAACTCAAAACAGAGATCCAGAAAGGTATGTGGGCTTGTCCACGGTCAACAGAGAGCAGCTCACAATAAGGCCACACAGGAGAAAGGCAAGCCTTTCCCATTGCCCACATCCTCATCTCGAGGCCTCACCACTATGCTCCCAGGTCCCTCCTCCATGCTCTTTGGCCCCTATCTCATTATTCCATACCCAGCATAATGCCTGAGACAAAGTAGTAACCAGCTCTTTGTGAAATGAGTGGATGGATGGATGGGTTGATGAGTGGATGGAAGAATATATGACTGTAGTACTCATTCTGGCATCACTTACCACAAGATGGGTCAGGAGTCTCTGAGGGGAAATGTATTCGGTAGCTAAGTTAGAGAGAGGATAAAAGAAGAGGACAGAGTCAGTGCACACTTCAGGATACTCAACCCCCAGCCTCCACTGGCAGCTCCCCGTCAGTACTTTAGACGAGGAGAAAGAGCAAAGAGGAGAGGGAACATCAGTGTCAATGCCACGGGAGCTGTGACATTTTGATTCAGACTAAAACACAAACCATAATATCTTCAGCCATTAAAAAACACACACACAAATGGTATGCTGAACAGACACCCTAACTCTAACCCTAAGTCCCACTGGGGTTAGAGGTCAGGGATGGGGTGAGCACAGAGTGAGGCTCAGAGTTAGGGCAAAGGAAGAACTAAGGGTCAGGAGTGTGTGTATTCATGATTTTGTAATTAACAATGTTTGTACATCTTGAATCAAGTGTTTTATAATAAGGAGTGAAGGCAAGAAGGAACTGTGACTTTTAGAGGCATCCCCTTTTCATTCATGAAGCCAAATGGCCTTAAGTAGTTGCCTTACTCTTCCCATCATGGCCCAAGCATGGGACCTACAACCCCATCTCCAGCATCCTCTTCATCCTCTTCCCCACACCCATCACCCCTGCAGTGTCTCAGCCAGCCCCCAACTACAACACTCCAAGCCCACAAACAGACTTAATTTCACAGTGAGCACCTCTCCACAGGCTGCCCCACCGTTGTACTTACGATCCTGGTGAAAGCTGCTGAGATAAGGAACCTGTCCCAGGGAACGGGCCTTCAGAGCCATTTGTGTGGCTGCCTTACACAGAGGCACGAAGGCCAAGGTGTTGTTGGGCTCACACACCAACGTGACCAGTTTGGGCAAAGATACCTGGCAGGAGATGTGGCAAGAATTTCAATGCCAAGCCCCAAGTCAGCCCGTCATCAGTCTCCAACCCCAAGACCTTGTCTCCCTTTCCGGACCGAGTATTTGAGGCCTGTATACAGATCCCCCTTAACCCATTCATATCCATTCTCTCCCTTCTCTCCCTCTTCTTTCTCTCTCTCCCCCACCCCACCACCAACCCCTCACTTCAGGTTGGAAAAGTATAACCAAGGTCCTGATTAAACTTATAGCCGGCATAAGTTGACTTGATAGATGAGGACTTCTTGAAATTTGGAATGTGTGACTTGTAATCACCTTCATTGAGGAACCTTCCAGAGTCAGAGACATGCTGAAGGTCAGGAGGCAGAGCTCACTGGGAGGGAGAGTGAATCTTAAGTCCTTTTCCTCCCACAACACAGCCCTTTCCTCAGTTCTGATGCAAATCAGTTCATATGAGCCTCCCAGAACCCCTGGAGGTTGCTGAGAACAGTCAGGAAATATAACCACCCCCTTTTTAAAAAAAGAAGACACTGCAGCTGGGAGAACAAGTTATTCAAGATTTTACAGCTAGAAAACTGGCTGATCAGGACTCAGACTCTGGCTTCAGATCCACACCCAATGACCCTCCTTTGCTGCCCTGAGCACTTCTCAGTGGAACCCCAGGCACTTGTAGGGAATGAAATGCAGGTGGGTTGAGGTGACAGAGACACCACAAGGCATTTGATGGAAGGGGAAAGTGGGAGGCAGTCAGGGGTGGGGGCAGGGTCAGGGTAGTGATCTGGGCAGCCAGGGGAGGAGGAAATGGAGAGGCCTGTTTGGCCCTAGCTGTTTATACCATCTGTAGGATTCTGGAACACATTATTCGGATGTCCTCTTCATTCTAGGATAAGAAAAGGAAAGATTTAAATCTAAAACCAATGCTAGCTAAGTCTCTGGGTTCACGGCCTTCCCTGGCTCACTGCTTAGGGTTTTACAGGCCAAAAACCCTTCACATGTGCCAGGCATACCCTCCTGTTTCCCTCCTGCTCCCAACCCTGCCTTCCTCTTGTTCCATCCCCTGAGGTGTGCTCCCATCCTCGGTCCCCTCCCAGCCCAGTCCCTTGCTCACTGATGAGTCAGTCTCCACAAGCTTGATGATATAGCTGATTAGAGCGTTCCCCTGGGGCAAGGCCAAGTAGTTATGCTGACCCAGTATCTCAATGAAGTGCACGAGGACCTTCGGCACCTGTGGAGTCACAGACCATCACATGACAAGACAGAAAGGAATGTCAGGGACTGCCCAGTGTGACCCTCCATAATCCAGGTGAGGACACAGAGGACCAAGGCAGGTGAGGGGATCAGATCTCCTGACACCAAACCCAGTGAGACTCTACAGTGGGCTCTCGATAATGACAGACCGCAAGCCACTAACCCTGACCACTTCTGTACTTTACCCTGAAGTTCTAACCGCTTCAGCTCCCACCACCTCCCTGGAGAACTCTAGTACTTACCTTGCCCTCACCTTATTTCCCCAGAGATATGAAAATTAGCAGGAGTGTGGGATTGGGGGAGAATCTGAGTCCAGGAAAGTCCCATGGTCTGGCCTTCCTAGGGAAAGCCAGGAACAAATCCCACAAGTCCTGAGGGCCCATCCCTCAAGATTCCAAGCTTTCTATTAACCTTCTGAGGATGTATTTTTAGGGATGATGCTATTGTCGTGCATTTGGTACCCCAAACCACTGCTCTCCTCTTCTCCTGTTCCCCTATTCTGTGTGATCCAGACTGAAGCAGTCTCTGCTGTCTCCAGCCCTGTCTGAAGAGCTTTTTAAAAAATATGGTTTCTCACAAAATATTGAGTAAGCAATTTGAAAGATAAGGTAGCAAACACCTAATTAGAACAGCAAAAAAAAAAAAGGACCCAAAAAAATGAGGATAGTTTGGGGGCATCTGGGACAATATCATGCATACAAATATTCGTATCATCAGGTGCCAGAAGGATAAGAGAAATAGGAAGGAATTGAAAACTTATTTGAAAAAAATAATGATAGAAATCTTCCCTCACCTGGTAAAGGAAATAGACATACAAGTTTAGGAAGTGCAGAGAGTCCCAAACACGATGAACCCAAAGAGGCCCACACTAAACACATCATAATTAAATGCAGAATGTTCAAGACAAAGAGAGAATCTTAAAAGCAGCAAGAGAAAAACAGTTAGTTACCTACAAGGGAGCTCCCAGATGATTTCTCAACAGGAACTTTGCTGGCCAGATATATTCAAAGTGATGAAAAGCAAAGACCTACAACCAAAATCACTCTAACCAGCAAGGCTGTCCTTTAGAACCCAAGGAGAGATAAGGCTTCCAAGACAAGAAAAGCTAAAGGAGTTCATCAACACCAAACTAATATTACAAGAAATGTTAAAGGGACTTCTTTAAGGAGAAGAAGAAAGGAATATCAAAAATATGAATAATTAAATGGCAGTAAGTACATATCTATCAACAATTACTTTAAATGCAAATGAATAAAGTGCTCCAATCATGAGACATAGGATGATTGAATGGATAAGAACACAAGATGCTTCCATTTGCAAGAGAGTCACTTCAGGTCAAAAGACACATACACGGACTGAAAATAAAGGGATGGCTAAAGGTATTTCATGAAAATGGTAACAAAACAAAAATAGCTGGAGTACCAATACTTACATCAGACTAAATAGACTTTAAAACAAAGACTATACAGAGAGCCAAAGGAGGACCCAGCAATTTCACTTTTGGATATTTATCTCAAGAAAACCAAAACGCTAAATTGAAAAGACATATACATCCATATGTTTCTTGCAGCATTATTTATAATAGCCAAGATCTGGAAACAACCTATGTGTCCATCAATAGAGGAATGGGTAAAGAAGAAGTGGTACATATATACAATGGAATATGACTCAACCCTTAAAAAGAATGAAATCTGGCCATTGGCAAAATGGATAGAGCTAGAGTGAAATAAGTCAAACAGAGAAAGACAAATGCAATATGATTTCACTTAGTTGTGGAATATAAAAAACAAAATAAATGAACAAGCAGAACTGAGACAGACTCATAGACACAGAAAACATTTTGATAGTTGGCAAATGGGAGGGGAGTGGGTGGATGGATGAAAAGGTGAAGGAATTAAGAAGTACAAATTGGTAATTATACAATAGTCATGGGATGTAAAGTACAGCATAGGGAACATAGTCAATAATTTTGTAATAACTATGCTGGGTGTATACTAGATTTATTGGGGTGATCACTTCATAAGTTATATAAATAAATGTCTAATCCCTAGGATGTACACGTGAAACTAATATAATATTGTATATCAACTGTAATTGAATAAAAATTTTAAAGAATTTACATATATATATATATGTATAGATATATAAAGAAAAGCATATATTTATTTATATATATATATATATACACACACACATCTTCTCAGACTTCATGCAAGATGTGATGTTTCAGGACTTCTCTCCCTAACCAAACTGTGGATTCTCTGGGGGAAAAATTAATATCTTTCAGAGCTCCATGTCCCTACTGGGCTCACCACAGTATTGCCCACAGAAAAGGCTCAGAAAATAGGAAGCAACCACCTGTTCACTTCTCAAACCTTTCTCAGGTTTTGACAAGCCCAAATGTAACCCATGGGCAGAAGTCTGAGGCCAGAACTAGATTGGCAAGGGGGCCTTACCTCTCTCTTCATTCCCCCAAACCTCCCCCTCTCCATCTTACCACACCTCAAGTTCTCAAATCAGCAATTGCCCTCCCAGCCCCAACATTCTGCCACTCTGCTCACTGGTTTGAGGTCCTCCTGAATCACCAGAATGGTTGAATTCAGTACCATGCGCTGCAGCTTCTTGGTCTGAGGCACTAGAGGAAAGACAGACATGCGGAGCGGTCAGTCTCCTTCCTCCCCCTTTGTTGCTTTGGGAGGCATGAGAAGACAGACAGCCAGGAGAAATTTTAGATACAGTCCTGCTCTTCAAGGCCAGATCAAACCCAAGATGCTATCTCCACCACCCCTCTGCTTCAAACCAGACTAAAAGTGACCTAAAACAGTATTTCATCAAGCTAGCGCTTGCGCCTCAGCCCTTACCAGACTCCCACAGCTGACCACACAAGTCTACCTCATTGGCGGAGCTGTTCTGCTCACCCTCTGCCTAT